AGCAAGCAATACTTGCTTTCATTTCTCCGCTCTCAGCCCTGGCTGTGATGTGACTAGCTGCCTGACTTCCTCTTAATGACGGACTGTGATCTGGAATTGTAAGCCAGATGACCCTTTCTCCTTCTTTTTTCCTCAAGGTTACAGCGATGTAAGTGATACGAGAGGGGTGACTCTGGGCCAGTGCCTCTCAAAACATGCATGAGGGTTCCCCTGTGTGAGTCGTCCTAGGCTTGACTTCTCTCAGTTTGCTCAGAACTCTCTGAGCTGTTTATTACCCGACCGCTCTGCTGTGAAAGCCAGGACCCATGTCATTTCAGAAATAATTCTGCTGCTGACTACTGAAGGAGAAATCATTATAGTTTCTTGGGTGCTCTGAGTCCCACTGTTTGCCAAGATTAATTAGAAAATGTCCAAGTAAAAATAAGTCCATTTTAATTACTCATTTTCACGTAAGGTTACAACAAAATGAAAAGCTACAAACATAGTTCCTGCAGGATCTGGCACCTACTGTCCTGTGCCTTCTGTCCAAGAGGTTCCTTCTGTCAGACAGGATTTCTGACTTCTGTGTTTTCTGGGATGCATACCATCCCTCAAAACCCCTTCAAATTTACTTGAGGATGTTCTGTAGTTACTTAGGAAAGCCGGTTTTTCCTTGTAAGCCTGTCTGTGTGCGAGGCTTAACTTCCTGTCAGGATGTGGACTTCACGAAGGTAGAGCCTGTCTCATGCGGACCTGTTGCTTCTAAGGTGTTTTTCTTATATGATCCCAGACTTATATACCTCTCACAAATTTGGGGGCTTGAATGTGAAAAAATTTAAAGATAAATAACTTTAAAGTCTGGCATGTTATATGTAGACATAAAAGAAGAAAAGAAAACCAAACCTGGTATGATGGCATATACCTCTTGAGGTTCGAAAGAAAATCGCTCCCATAGGGAGTGGCATTATTAGGAGGTCTGGCTTTGTTGGAGTAGGTGTGGCCTTGTTGGACGAAGTCTGTTACTGTGGAGGTGGACTTTGAGGCCTCTGATGCTCATGTTATGCCTGGTGTGGAACATGGACTCCTTTTGCTGTCTGCAGATCAAGAGATCATGGAGAACTCTTAGCTTCTTCTCCCGCACCATGTCTGCCTGCATGTTGCCATGTCCCACCATGATGATAATGGACTAAACCTCTGAAACTGTAAGCTAGTTCCAATTAAATGTTTTCCTTCATAAGAGTTGCTGTGGTAGAGGTGCCTCTTTACAGCAGTAGAAATCCTAACTGAGACACCTGTAATCCCAGCTATACTTAGGAGGCTGAAGCAGAGGCATCATGAATTCAAGGCAACCTGACCTATAAGTGAGACTATCTCAAAATAAAATACAAAGAGCTCATGCCTGGTATGCATAGTACCCAGTAGTTCATTGTCAAGTACAAAAGAGAGAGAGAGAGAGAGAGAGAGAGAGAGAGAGAGAGAGAGAGGAAAATTTTACCACGTGTATGTTGTCACTTTTTTATTTTTAATTATGTGTATGTGTATCTCTGTGCAGGTTTATGCACATGAGTGAGTGCTAGTGGAAACCAAAGAGGGCTTTAGTTCCCCTGGAGCTGGAGTTACAGGCTGATGTGTAGCGCTGAGTGCTGACAATCAAACTCAAGTGTTCTGCAACAACAGTGCGTGCTCTTACCACTGGCTCTCCCACTCCCTCCCACATCTTAAGGAGTGTAAGCACCGTTAGGAGTGAGACCTGCAGGCACTCACTTAAAACACGGGGTCCTTAACTGTGGAAGCTTTGTGTCATTCCTTTCTCTCGGGGAAGTCAGATTTGATTTCATAACCCTCACGGAGTCTTATCTTTATATGTATTTATATGTATTCTCAGGCTTGAAAATCTTTTTAAATACATGAATAAATTGTGGTTTTGAAGCAGAATCTCACCGTAGAGCCCAGGCTGGATATCCAGGCTGACTTCAAACTTAGTCGTTCTGTCTCTGCCCACATGCGGGCTTACAGACATGCAGCCATCATGCCAGGTTGGATTGCCTTCTACTACACAATCTATCAAAAGCACGGAATTCATAGTACATTCTTATAAGTACTTATCACACATAAAGATTCAACTTAATTAGAAGCATATGCTTTTATGAGTGAAGAGGGACCATTCACCCACATGAATACCACTCATTGCTCACTGTAAGCACGACACTGCATCCATCTTATTTCATGATTATTATAGATAGAAATGCTGTAAAAACTTGTTCACATAAATCATAGCCAGGACTAGAGGTATTTTATTGTAGCACTGTCAATCAGTCCTATGATTTCCTTTCAACTAATGTGCCAACAATTACCTAGTGGCTTACTATAGAAATATTTCCTATCTCTTGTCAACTGCAACTTGATGGAGTCTTACTTCCATGCTATTGAAAGCAAAGAGTTGGGCACACATTGTTTGGGGAAAGATTTTTTTAAACACTCATTAGCAATAATTTACTTTTTCAATTTCTGTGAATAATACAAAAATCCACTGTACTAAATTGTATCAACTATTAATTATACTTGTTGTCTAACCTAATTAAAAATTGCAGGGAAATGAAACTGACGATGTATTTTTCAGAAACTGATTTTATAGTTTATACTTGAAGTGTTTTCAGTTCTTCAGAACAGCAGATTTGGTTTATGCAATTTTTAAAAATAGCTCTCATATAATCTACTTGAAAAATGCAGCCTTCATTGTGAAAACAATAAATTGAATGGGATTTCAAGTGGCCTTTTCTCCATAAAATGCCTTATTTATTCTAATAAATATAAGCATTTCTCCAATTTCTTCTGTGGTAGTTTGAATAGGAATGTGCCCCATAGACTCATGTGTTTGAATGCTTGGCCCATAGAGAATGACACTATTAGGGAGTGAGAGAGTAGGTGTGACCCTGTTGGAGGAAGTATGTCCCTGTGGAGGAAGGCTTTAAAGTCTCCTATGCTTAAGCTATGCCCAGTGAGGTACACCGTCTCCTTCTGCTGCCTGTGGATCAAGACATAGAACTCTCAGTTGCTTCTCCAGCACCATGTCTGCCTGCATGCTGCCATGATGAAAATGGACCAAACCTCTGAATTGTAAGCCAGCCCCAATTAAATGCTTTCCTTTTAAGAGTTACGGTAGTCATGATATCTACACAGCAATAGAAACCCTAACTAAGACAACATTCAAATCTCTATATCCTTTACAATTACTTTTTTATTTACTTATTTTGGGTGCATAAGTACATGTGTATGTGTGCCCGTGCATGCCATAGCACGTGAGTGAGGTCAGAACAAGGTGTGGTGCCTTTCCCCGCTAAGTCATCCTGCCTACCATCTATTTGCAGTGGGGGCTTCTTGTGGAGCCCAATCTGGCCTTCGAATCTATGTGTAGCAGACACTGACCCTGAACTCAGGATCCTCCTGCCTGTGCCTCCACAACGCTAGGATTTCAGGTGTGCACCACCCTGCTGCCACAGGACTCCTAAACCCTGTCCTAAGGTGGCTAGCCCAGGCTTGGAGCCTTGTGAATTGTTGCACTGATAACATAAAGATGTCCCTCTTGCCCCCCACCCATATACGCAGGCTTTCATTGCTCTGCTCTCAGGGGACTCTTCCTTAGGAGTGATGTGTTGTTGATCATAGCTGAGGATGGAAAGCACATGAATGTTAAATGAAATTGGCCATCTGTCCTGCTGCTCCATGCTGTGTGTAATACAGTTTTTCTGAATATCAGGTGTCCTGGTATGGACCAGTGTAAGTATCCCATATTGCCATGATTTTGCTTTTCAAAAGACTATGTCTGAGACAAGATGCTGGGCCTTCCCTGCCTTGACTAAATGAGGTCTCCTTGAGGTGGCTTGCTTGTTTTCTGTTCCTACTATTGGTACCTTATGTTTGGGGAAGAAGACCCGTTCACAAAGTGGACAAATGATAAGTCTTTGATTTGTGGAGTAGGGGAAATTATGAATGGCAAAAAGGAAAGAGCTGGCCAAGCCTTCTCAGGCAGATGAGCTTTTGGAAGAAAGGTCTGAAGATGTTGCAGAGCTGGGAATTGATTCCCTTAAAAAAGTCAGTGTGATCTTAGGCCCCAGGAGTACTTAGATTCCCCACAAGTGTACAGACACCAACATGAGGACAGTGGTCTTATACCTCTTATTGTCTACCACAGCATCCCAAGATAGAGTATGACTAATACTTTTTAGAGGTCGTGTATGCTGAGTAAATGCTATACAACTGAGCTGAGTCCTGGCCTAAAGTTTTACCATTAGAGCTGGTACTGATAGACAGTAACTAATCTAGGAAGATGAAGGATATTAAGACTGAAAAATATGCCAAATGTCTCCCATCCAAGTAGTAACCAGGCCCGACCCTGCTTAGCTTCCAAGATCAGACGAGATGGGGCGCATTCAGGGTGGTATGGCCATAGACAAAATATGCCAAATGTAATAAACATAAACAGACATACCAGTTTATCTTCTTTGGTGTATTTTCTCTTTTATGCTTATTTTTTGTTTTACATTAAAGGTTTTTTGCCTCCTCAAAAAATCTATACATTTATGATCTGTTCCTCCTACACAAAACACATGAGATTCACCTTTCAGGATTAAGAATACTTAAATATTATAATACTTATTGTCATCATTCTTACGATTCTAAGATTCCCACTGAGTAGACTTTGTAAGTTCTGGTTTGTTGTATGATACTATGTGCTACTATAATTACCACTACATTTTACATTATTTTCAAAATACTTGAGATAATAAAACTATAACATAATTGCTGAGATGAGACAGGACCATACTTCACACTGTAGATTTTGAACTCCTCTAGGCTCGCCAGTGTTGTGAAGTAGTGCATCCTCAGAGGTGGATATTGGTATGTGATGTGAATTTAATAGGTGGAATTAATCTTCAAAAGTAATTAAAGTTATATACAAATACAAAAATAATACATTTTTTCCAAAGTAAAGCTTTGTTGACAGTTTATGTTGTTGGCAGAAAACACCTCCAAGGCAAGACTGAGGCTGGAGCAGTGCCAGGATGTCCCCTCACCTGCTGAGCCCTCCCTGTCCAAGGACTCTCCTCTGCTCAGGATGAAGATATGGAAATCAACAGAGGTGAGATGCTCCAGTTCCCTTTGCCACTGTGCTAGGTAACCAAGCACGTGCATTAAAACCTGAGTGTGTTCCTTTACAGCTCTGCGGGTTATGTGCTGAAAGATGCATCTTGACATCGGCGTTTTATGTTATTAGGGGTTTTAAATATCAACAAGGCAAAATCATGTTGAGTTTTTTTTTAGTTTGTGCTGTTTATTTTTTCTATTGCTTTGGAATTCTTTCTGCTTATTATCTATTAACAATGCATTTGGACCATTTCATCTGTCAATTATTTTTTGTCTTCCATCGTTCCTGCTGCATTTTAGGCTGTCTCCCAGTCCATGTGTCCTTTCATTTGTTGGTGCCTAGAACTGTCCCTGCCCTGGGAGTTGTTTCCATTTCAGCGTCTGCCTTCTCTCCCAGGACCTTGGATCACTTCTGTTCACTCACCCTTACTTAGCTCTGTTCTTGTGCACTTTTCTCTAAGTGGTAATTTTAGTATTAAAGAGTTTCCCCAGACTTGATGGAACCACAGAGACAGATGTTGGGTGAAAAAGTCCTATAGAAACATGCAGCATTTAGAGCGGGGAAGGCTGGGATAGCAGACACAGCAGCAGCCCCTGCTTCTCCGTCACTGACTGTCCTCTCCATTGTCCTTTCGCGGCATCTGCACGTATTTTATTCAGATGGTTTTTAGATCTGTTTATTTTCCTTTTGTCAAGAGTGAACTTTTTGATTTTAGACTATAAAATAAGCTTTTCTCGCATGGGTCATGTGTGCGTGCGTGCGTGTGTGTGTGTGTGTGTGTGTGTGTGTGTGTAGGTCTAGAGTCCCTCTTAGCCTCCCTGATTAACAGGTCCTCATTTGCCTGCTCGCTGCAGGACTTACACTAGCAGGTTGAGGTTCCCCTCTTCCACTGATGTCAGAGATATTGCCCATCTGTTCTGTAGAGCCAGGTCAGTGTGTCCCATCATGTGACCAGCTGCTGGAGAAGTGTGTGTGTCCCCTTGTCTGCTCAGGTGGCTCCTGCCTCCTTCCTGTATGAACAGAGATCCAGTGTGCTGCCTGCTCTTCTTTTCCTACGAATGCAGCTCCTTGACCATCTACTGCATTTCCTGGGAAGGGGGTTCGGAATCTTGACTCTTTCCTCAGCCCTTTTAGGTACTGAATTTAATGGCTTTCCTACAACTTTGAAAAGGGATTTATATAGTTCAATTTTACTGTCCTTTAATGTACAACTTACAGATTTTTAAAAAATAAAACTAGATAATTTAAAAAGATAAGACATGAGGTGAAATGATTTTAAATTTTACTCTTTCATGATCGCTGGTAGCTTTTCAGTAGAACAGACTTGAATACCCCTCTGTGTAGTAGGACCAGAGACATCAAACGCCACCTGATTTCTTATGTCAGCCTTTAGGTCCTGACGCTTTTGTCTGCTTTTAGAGGTGCCCTCACTCACTGGTTTATATAGTACCGTATTTTGTGTCAGTGAGAAGATGGTAGCTGTTTACACAGGAAGTGTTCTAGAAGCTGAGCTTTAACTTTCTAATACACGATTGTGTGTTAACAATATCCCATCAGCTTCCTGACAAGCATGGCCTCATGTTACACCAGGACATTCAGTGCAGTCCAATATGTCTTCTCTAGATGTTCCTGTAGCAAAAAACAAACTCTAGCACGCTGAACAGTAAAGCTAGCTGTTGCGGTGAACTGCCTGGAGGGGCTCATCTACAAGACCAGCCAGCCCCTTGTTTCCCCATGCAGAAGGGAGCCATGTCCAGGGCTCAGGCAGAGTGAGGTGCCTTTGAAATATCTCTGAAAAAACTCAAATAGAAACCTCGTTAACCATTCTCTTTCCACAGTCAAGAGTAAATTATCTTAAGAGACAAAATTATTTTAGAATCTATTTTTAAAGATTTATTTATATGGCTGTGTATGCCTATATGAGTGAATGTCTCCTGTGTGCAGTGCCTTGGAGGTCAGAGGTGTTAGATCCCTGGAACTGGAGTTACAGACAGTTGTTAAGCCAACAGAGGTGGATCCTGGGAACTGAACTCCCATCCTGTGGAAGAACAGCTGATGCGCATGGTCGCACCCAACTTTTTTTTTTTTAACATGGGTGCTGGGGATCTGAACTCAGGTCCTCACACCTGTGCAACAAGTGCTCTTGCTGACTGAGCCACTGCTCCAGCCCCAAGTTTCATTTTTTTGGTTCTGTTCATGTTTCATTAGTTTTCATTATGTAAACTTAAGTCTTCTAATAAAAATAGTGGAAAAAATTAAAATGAAATAAAAAGAAATGAGCCAGTAGTCCATAAAGGAGCGGAGGGAACCTTAATGCCATTACTAAGTGCAAGAGGCCATTGCCAATGTGTGTACCCCAGGAATCCAGCAAGAGGGGCCTGGGAAGGGCAGACTCGGAGAGTATAAGGATTGGAGTCTCTGGGGTACAGGAAGGGTCTCGGCAGCTCAGGGAGGGCTTTGGGGGAAACTTCTCTATACAATAATGATCAGCATGTGTCATTAGACCTTTGCCAGAACCCAAAGCATGAAGGGCAGCAGGGGTATGTTCAGTGCTAACTACAGACCTGAGTGAGCATGTGTCTGCAGTCATTCAGGGACCATGCCTACAGTAACGCTGCAAGTAAGATGGACAGTGTGCACCGAAAACCAGTACCCTGTGCTCAATTAGTCTGTAAAGCCAAAATAGCGCTGAAATGTATTCTGCTTTCTTAGAGGAGACTTTTTATAAAGTCTTCAAGTAAGACAAGTATTTCTGAGAATAATGAAGCTCCAGGAGTAATAATGGAATTGGTGAGCTGATGAGCTACACAAAAGTGAAGACTTCTATAAGGTAAAAAGATAAGGTAGAAATTCTTAAGAAGTTAAAAACTAAAAATGAACACTAAGCTGTTAATGATATACTTTTTAAATGCATCATCGGTCTATAAATTGATAAAGAGGACGACAGTCAGGATGGCTCTGCGGGTGAAGGTGCTTGCTGCCAATCCTGTGGACCTGAGTCCAATCCCTGGGACCCATGTAGTGGAAGAAGAGAAAACCGACTCCCGCAAGTTGTGCTCTGATGTCTGTGTATGGACTGTGGCGTGTGTGTCCCCTCCCCTACACCCCAAAAATGAGTAATTAATACATTAAATTTCTTTAAGAAATTGATAAGCGGGGGGGGGGGTGCTGGGGCTGCAGCTAAGTGGCAGAGAGTGCTTTATGTACTTAAGGCCCTGAATCCAATCTACAGCACCAAACATATGCACCTGAAAGGGTGAAATACCTCACAAAATCTTACTCAGTCTCATATGCAATTAGGTAAAACAAAATTGTATGCCTTTACCACTGATGGAAAAAATGTTTAATTGCTACCAACCTGTATTTGCACTGAGAGGAAGAGTCTCTCCAACACGCTGCTGGATCCAAGCAGGTGCCACTTCTGAGAGCACAATTTGGCACCGTTCACACTCAAAACAAGCCCATGTGAGTACTCAGCGATGCCACTATGAACATACAGCTTGAAAAGGTGGCTGTATTAAGCTTTTTATTGCAGCAATTTTAATAGATAGAAACAAGAAAAATCTTGAAATGATTACCAGTAGGGGATGATTAAGTTAATTTACACATCAGGAACACAGCTCAGCTTGTCTTGAAAGAAGCACATTTGTAATATGTACTTCAATGAAAGAAGCCTTTGTGGGGACAGCACACGATGAATTATTATATTTGTTATGTAGAAAGATGGACAAGGTAGATTGCTTGCTCCTGGGCAGGCTAGAGAGTAATACATACATACATACATACATACATACATATATATATTGACTCCATTTAGCTTCCACTAGCTGCCCCAGGAGAGGCACCGCCTTTGAAAGAATGGGCAGGAACTTCGTTCTCTGTTCTTTACCATTCATGTTGTTTGGTGTTTTGCAGTGAGTATTTTCTCTAAAAATTAACAATAAAAGCACAAATATAGCCATTAAATGGACATTTAAGCAGAAGCAATGATGTAGCAGAGATGGGAATGATGAACAAACATAATTAGATTAAGCATAATTTCCACTTCTCTAACAACTCTGATAAGTTCAAATTTCTGCAAATAGGACAAATTGCACAGAAATAAACCAAAGGGCAAAATCTGTATATTTTTCATTTTGCAAAATACTTCGTGGAAGCAGCAGAGCAGACATTTATCGTCCATCACTATTGATTTAGCAACTCACAGCGACATAGAAGGTTTTGGTCAGCTTTAATTTTGTGTGAACCACTTCACAACATCCCTATCAGTTGCTATGGAAACAGCTGCAACCCCCCCCCCCCAATTGCAGCCTTGGTTGTTTTTTTTTTTTTTTTTTTTTTCATCCAGTGTCCTTGGGCAGCAAAGAAGGTTTTTTGGGGGGTTTTGTTTTGCTTTTGTTTTATTTTTGTTTTAGTTTTTGAGGTAATAAAAGCTACAAATAACCTTATTATCAAATTTAATGATAAAAACTATGGAGAGTCTGAAGAAAGAAAACAGAGCAGTGTCAATTATAAACATAAAATGTTTCCTTAGTTTTGAAAGTAATACTCTGGTGAGCCCTGCTCTACTTTTGAAAGCTCTGTTCTGCTAAGAATTTTATTTGTGGGGCTGAAGAGATGGCCCAGTCAGTGAGAGCACTTGCTGTGCAGGCATGAGGACCTGAGTTCAGAGCCTGAGGACCCACATCAAGAAAGTGTGTGTGACCATGAGCAACTGTGACTGCAGTGCTGAATGGAGGGACGGGGGCAGGGAGGGCAGAGACAGGAGTTATTACTACAAACCACAGCGAGCTCAAGGTTCAGTGTGAAGAGACCTTGTCTCAAGAGAATAAGGCATAGAGGAAAAGAGGGCATCCCAAGTGATCCTCCAACCTTCAAATGCTTGTGCATAGACATGTGTTCTTGCACACACACACACACACACACACACACACACCTCAATGGAAATGGTTAACGATGTAGAAGTTTGCATTTCTTTTTAGCACTAAATGACATTCTACTGATTCACCCATTTATCTACCAAAGCTTGCTTCCAAGTTTTGTTCATCATGAATAAAACTGCCATGAAAATCATGGTGAAATAAGCCAGATTCAGATACCAGATACCACATTTTCTCATCAATGAAGGACATAGATTTAAACACACACACACACACACACACACACACACACACAAAAAAAAACCTATGTGTAGATTTTTGCCGTTGAGAACCTGAAAAGCTCTGTATCATTATAAAACATAATTACCAAAATATAAAATGAAATTAATGAACCTTGCATTCATTTGGGGGTTTTCTTCTGTGATGTTAGTATTTTTGCTCTGAAATGATGATGAGTTTAATGTGTGCAAAATCCAACAGGTAACCATGGATACACTCTGTTTGCATTATCTTTTATAGCCTTTGCATGGAAAAAAAGAAGATACAGATACAAAACAGAAGAGATTCTCATAGTCTGATAGGCTTGACTTGAGCTGGTGACATGTCAGTCTGAGCTCTTGTAATTTGTCTTGTTAGCAAGCTAAAGAAAAATCATAAGATAATTTCACTTGATAGAGTAATGTATTTGATAGAGTCCAGCGCCCATTTATGGAAGAACTTAGCAAACTCGAAGCCAGATGGTGGGCAAATAAAATGAATATTATTTCAGCAAATATGGATAGTAAAGGGATGCTGGGAGAGATGGCCAGCATTGTTAGCCTGGAGGCACACACAGTGAACTCTCAGAATGGCTGAATCAGAAACAGTGACAGTACCACATGCTGATTAGGATGTGGAGGGATCAGACTGCTCCTGTTTTGCTGGTAGGAATTTAAAAAGGTGAAGTCACCCTACAACTGGTAGTATCTTATAAAATGGAATACATTGTGGGGAGATAGGGCTTGTGGTTAAAAACACTTCCTGTTTTTGTAGAGGACCCAGGTGTGGTTCTCAGCACCCAAATGGCAGTTCACAACCACCTGTAAGTCCAGTTCCAAGGGATTCAATACCCTCTCGTGGCCTCATTGAGCACAAGAGATACAATGGTTCATAGATACATATGCAGGCTAAGCTTTCATACACAATAAATAAATAAATCTTTTTAAAATATATTTATTTATTATGTATACAATGTTCTGTCTGTCTGTATGCCTGCAGGCCAGAAGAGGGCACCAGACCTCATTACAGATGGTTGTGAGCCACCATGTGGTTGCCGGGAATTGAACTCAGGACCTTTGGAAGAGCAGACAATGCTCTTAACCACTGAGCCATCTCTCCAGCCCAATAAATAAATCTTTAAAAAAATTAAAACCAACTGAATAGGTGTCTGTGCTGGGTACAGTTAATCCCAAACTCAGGAGGCAGAGGCAGATGGATCTCTGTGAGTTCTAGGCCCGCCAGGGCTACATAGTGAGATCTTGTCTCAAAAACAACAAAACCTGAATACACATCCATATACCCCAACAATGGTACCCATAATATCTCATAGACATGGAAATTTACTTATAGCATATAAAAACCTGCACCCAGAAATTTTGTCTGTAACAGCCCAAATCTAAAAAGAACCAGATGTATTTGAATGGGTTAAACATAAGTGTCTGGTGTGCACTCAGCAGGGAAGAGGAAGGAACTTTTGGTGTACACAACAGCTTGGGTGAGTCTCAGGGAACTGCACTAGATGAAAAGAGCCAGTCCTAAAGGGTTGCATAGTGTGTGGTCCCATTTATATAACATACTTTAAATGTCAAAAGAACAGACAGGCCAAACAGATTTGCTGTGTCTCTGGCTGAAATCATGTCAGATCCCAAACACGTCAAGTCCCAGTTAGGGTTACTGTTGCTATGATGAAACACCATGACCTAAAGCCACTTGGGGAAGAAAGAGTTTATTTCACTCACAGTTCCATGTAATAGTTATCTCCAAAGCACTGAGGGCAGGAACCTGGAGGCAGGAGCTGAGGCAGAGGCTATGGGGTATGCTACTTATTGGCTTGCTCCACCTGGCTTGCTCAGCCTGCTTTCTTATAAACGGGGGTGGGGAGTGGGGGAGGAGATGACAGGACCCACCAGCCCAGGGATGGCTCCACACACAATGGGCTGGGCCCTCCCCCATCAATCACTGATTTTAAAAATGCCCCACAGAGTTGCCTACAGCCTGATCTTATGGAAGCATGTTCTCAATTGAGGCTCCCTCCTCTCCAGTGACTATAACTTGTATCAAGTTGACATAAAACTAGCCAACACACCCGATTTTCTTTTGATCATATGTCTGGGTATGTGCACGTGAGTGCAGAGCCTTCCAAAGCCAGAGGCATCAGATCTCCTGGAGCTGGAGCGACAGGCAGTTGCAAACTGTTGGATGCACATGCTGGAACTCAGCTCCAGCCTTTCCTTAATGGCTGAACCATCTCTTTGTTGTGGTTTTCAATGCATGTATTCTTTCTTGTTTGTGTCAGGACCTAACATTATTGCATGACGAGTATCCTAAGCAACTTTTGCCTGCAATACCTCCTCCCATCACCTCTCCTACTTCCTGGATGTCAGAAGGGGAAGCGGAAGTCTGCAACCTCTGGGATGCAGGTAATTTGGTTATGGACAGAAGTTTCTCCAGAAACACGTGTAAGATGTGCTAGAAGGGAAGTCTGCACAAATATAAGATTTGATTTTGAAATATAGCAACAATTGACTTGGTTTGTTGCTGGTAATCGGGACAGGACTGTATGATAAATCTATCCAGCCATGGCCTTAGGCTCCCAGTTTGTCAGTCACTTGCTTCACTGACTTTTGTTTCTTTCATTTCTTTTTCATTTTGTCTAAAAATTAACTGTAAACCTTGAACTTTTTCGAAAGCTTTAGAGAGCAGAACTAATTTTCTGTTCTTAAAAAAGATTTATTTTTATTACTTTTTAATATGTATGAGTATTTTGCATGCATATTTGTCTGTGTTCCACATGTGTGCCTTTGTGCCATGGAGGTCAGAAGAGGGTAGCAAATCCTCTGGAACTGGCATTATAGACAGCTGTGAGCCACCAAGTGGGTGCTGGGTATTGAGCCTGTGTCCTCTGTAAGAGCAGCCAGTGCTCTTAACTCTTGAGCCATCTCTCCAGCCCAATTTTAGTATGTTTTTAGTGTAATTTATTTTTGATGACGTTTAATGAGGGAGCGCCTTCTAAAACAGGCATTAAATGAAAATGTGCATAAGCATAATGCACAGCCAGCCTCATTGCCACAGCTTACTTAATCATCTTGTGAATAATTGACATTAGAAAAGGGCACAGTATAGATCTGGGTGTGGTGGCTCACATTTGCAATCCCGCCACTCAGCATGGTGAGACAGAAGGATTGCCACAAACTTAAAGCCAGCCACATCCATGCCAACCTGGACTGCAGTGTAAGACCCTGTCTCAAAAAACCTGGAGGAAAGGGCACAGTATAAATACACAAAATGACACCAAAGTCACCTCCAATAAATGACAATATTGGGTCTCATCTAGGCTCTGCTGCTGTCAGGACCCTGTGTTCTGGCTCTGGTTGAACCGTTCCCTCCAGTCCCTGCTCTACATGAAGTCCCAGTTTGGACTGAAGATGGAGCCCAGGCCTCATGGCATACATGCTAAGTGCACACTCTACACCACACTGCATCCTGGCTGCAATAGGCTTTCCTCTAGGTTTGCTCAGCAAGTAGGGTAGACCATCCTTCACCAAGATATGAATGAGACATCTATCAGGAGCATTTATCACGAGCTATTGTGACACAATTACATCATATAGCAATTGATAATTCAGATGTCAACCCAGCAGAGGAAGTATTCCCTGATGGGTACCCTATCAGCAAGGCTTGCAGACCACTGACTCTGAAAACTGTTGCTTTCTTCTGTAATTTCCCTTGTGTAATAACAGCTATGATATCTCCCTACTACCATGCATTTTCATGTGATGTGTATATGTAATCTCATGATTGCATCTCAATCTATGGGCACATATATCTGTGGATGTTTAGGAAGATGGCTTTTCATTTAGTTACATAATTTTGGTGTATAGAATATATGCTGGGACATGCTTTATAACTAGATCTATTTGTCCCACAAGGGCTGTGGACATTTAAAAGCCTGCCTTGTTCTTTTGCTTAGGCTAACTGTACACAGCTCACTTTCACCTCAAAGCAAGTTCAAGCTAGACTAGAGGCTTTTTGTAAATAGATCATAAGTTTAAAACCTTACAGCTGTGCACAAGGTCGGAGTCACAGATGTCCAACCTAGGTTGCTATACAAAGCACCCTAAGAAAAGCATGCCAGTTCTTCACTTGCCAGTCTGCTAACAGTAGACCCGTGTCTCAAAGTTTGCTATTGGGCACTGTGCCCCCCAGCCCAAATCTGGTTACAGTTTTACTGCTGAAACCTTGAAACCCTTGTGTTGCCATGGCAATGGCTCAACTCCTTATCACTTACCCTAGGAATGTGCTTATGACCAATGAGAAGTAGCCCCTGTAATTTCTTTTCTTAAAAAAAATTATTTATTTATTATATATACACTTGCACCAGAGACGATGCCAGATCCCATTACAGATGGTTGTGAGCTACCATGTGGTTGGTGGGAATTGAACTCAGAACCTCTGGAAGAGCAATCAGTGCTCTTACCCTCTGTGCCATCTCTCCAACCCCCCCTTGTAATTTCTTTATTGCATCAAGGTTCCTGGGGGAAAAGAATTTTGAAGCCAGAGGAAAAAAATCTAGAGGAAGAATCGAGGAGAAGTTAGAAGTAGGAGAGGAGTATTAGAAAAGAAGCAGAAGAATTAAAAGGCTGATTAAAACAAAAAACAAAACCATGTGTGAGTTTGTTCATTTGCCCTCAGATCTTCGCTGGCTGTTACTTCCTCTGTAAATCCTGAGAGGGCCTTGGGCTAGAGTGTCTTGGGACTGGACCCAAAAGCTTTCATTAGATGTCCTCAGTACCCTTCACCTTGTCTCTCTGCTTTTCTGGCTCTCAATCGTCCTGTCCTGTCTCACAGAGGTGGCTCCTCATGGCCCCCAGTGTGTTAGTGTGGGCTCACTTTCCTTACAAGCACAAGGGCACCTTCATAAATGGTTCCTTCTAAATGCTTATGAGAAGTTAAGGAATATTATAATAAATGCAACAAAACTTGAGGTTGTGGTAATACGTGTGTGGGATGGCATTTGCACAGGTAATTGCTATAAATGGCTATAATCCAGGGACAGTTTGCTTGACATTTAAATTTTAATTAATTAATTTTTGAGACAGTGTCTCATTGTATAGCTTTGGCTGGCCTATAATTCACCACGTAGACCAGGCTGTCATGGAAATAACTCTCAGATCCACCTGTCTCTGCTGCCTGGGTTCTGGGATTGAAGGTGAATGCCACCACATCTGCCTTGCTTAGTGTTCCTGTGACATCCTTTACAGCAGGCAGCCGAAGTCTGAAAGCTTGAAGGCAGAGCAGTAGGAAAACTTTCTTGTATTCTAACATCGTCTAACATTTCTGCCTCCTAGCATTTCAAATATAGACTTTCTTTTTGAGAGCAGTTTTAGATTCACAGCAGAACTCAGTGGAAAGTGCAGCATGTCTCTGCTCCTGTGCAAAACACATCCAGCTTGTCGCTCGCCACGTTTTTTACAGTCAGACTTGCGTTGATACGATGGTCATTCTAAGTCTGTAGCTTTGTCCCAGTTCACTCTTGGTGCGGGACATTCTGTGAGCTTAACTAGCATGGCATACATCCACTATCACCATACAATGTAGCCTTGCCCCACGCTCCCTCTGTGCTCCACTGTTCACCCCTGCCTCCCTCAGTCCTGTCAGCCACTGACCTTTTTACTGTCTGCGTAGTGTTTCCTTTCTTAGAATGCCGCAGCACTGGAATCATGCATAAGCACCTACTTTAGATTGGCTTCTTTGAGGTTCTTACCTGACGGAAAGTTCTCCTCATGGCAGGATCCCTCCTTTCTCCTGAGTATAGAATAAGATCATTGATTTGCCACTATAAGACACTTTGGTTGCTTTTGGTTCTGCAGATATGGGGTTTTGTATGAATATATTTTTTCCCTCTAACACTTTAACACAAGTGAAGTTGAGTATAGCTTCAGAGGCCACCCTAAAGATGAGAAGCCACAGAACATGCTACACAAGGGAATGCCTCTACTGTTTTTCTTAGCCAGAACCCATCTAAGCCAGAGGGGCTCTTCTTGTTATTTTTAATATGTGAGTATGTGGGGTGTGTGTGTTCATGTATGGATGTGTATGTGCAAGTGTATGCACATGCCATATATAGAAGAGACTTGATGTTAATGCCAGGTGTCATTCCCAGTGGCTTTCCACTTTGTTTACTGAGTCAGGCTCTCTCACTGAATCCAGAGCTCACCAATTCCTACTAGTTTCTTTAGCCTGCTTGTCCTGGAATCCTGTCTTTGTCTCCTGAGTGCTAGGGTTGTGGTCAGGCTCCACGCCTACTCTGCTTTTCTGTGCAACAAGCACTTTATCTACTGAGCCATCTCCCTAGATCCTTTTCCTATTTTTAAGCCTTTCTTTTCTCCAGCCTTTCCCTGGCTTGCTAAAATGCAGATCCTAGCATTTCACTTCCCAGCTTCACAACTGTCAACAACTCTCTGCTGCCAGTGAGATAAATCTAATTTTTTCATATTGTCATATGAAATTTCCATAGTTTGATCCCAGCTTATCTTTCTGATCCCTTTACTCCAAACAGTCAGTACTCTCAGGACTCTGCGACATTCCGTGTGTAGTCCCTTTTCTTTAGACCATCTTTGTTCCAGGGTGACATGCTGGTCTAAGTTCTGTGGTGTAAATACCATTTATTATGTTCATGGATTCTCTGGGTCAGGAACTAGGACAAGGCACAGTGGGAATGGCTTGCCTCTTCCATGATAGATAGATGTCAGAGCCTCAGCTGAGGAGCTCAAAGGCCAGGACAGGAATCTTCTGAAGGCTGGCTCCCTCATGTGTCTGGCCATTGCTGCTGGCTATCCACTGGGGGCCTCAGTTCCTCTCCACATGAGCCCATTTAAGTGGTCTTTCCACGTGGGCTAGCGAGAGCTTCCTCACAGCATGGTGACCGGGTTCCCAGGGTGAGCATATTCTGCCCAGTAGAAGCTGAATAATCGATCCCAGAAGCCACACCATTGTGCTACCATTATGTTCTGTTCATCCGGGCAGTTGCAAAATCCTGCCCAAGCTCAACAGACAGGAGAGAAGACCTCTACCTCTCCATGGATACATGGATTTCATACAACACTGAAAGAAAAAAAATTGGGTAGAATGCACGTTGGCATATACATTTATGTGCCCGTTTGCGTGTTTGGAAAATGTCTGTCAGCTTTCTATCACATTATAAATATTTGACAAAATCCTATTCAAATAGCAAGGCCCAGAGAAAATGTCATGACTGTTATAAAATCCTTCTGTGTGCTAACTAATTTCTCCTTTCAGTATGGTCTCACATGACTTTCCTAATACCTCTATTATAGGATTCTTAAATTTGTGGTTTAAATTTATGGTATAAATTATACTTGCTTTATAACTGCCTAGCTAATAAATTGATATACTCATT